GGTGTTAAAATGTTAAAAAATCAATCGTTGCTTTTTTCATACAAACTAACGATTATATAACACTACTCATGCCTTTCTTTTTCCTTTCCTTTTTTTTCATCAATTTATGTTTTTTTTATTTAATTATGTATTAAAATTTTAAAAAATTAATCGTTACTTTTTTTCATATAAACTAACGATTATATAATACATATATGATATTTTTTATATTTATACGATATGTTTCTAGATTTTAGAATAAATATAAACTACTCTTATTATATAAAATTGATTTTTTGGATAAAAATTCTCATCAAGTTAGTTTTTATTCTTACTTTTTTATAATTTTATTTATTAAATATGATTTATTTTCTCTATGTATGGATTTGAATAAGTTTTTTTTAATATCTGTTTTTATTTACTTGATTATTATATAATCAAATTTTAAAAATTGAATATATGTATTTTTTTTTTACGTAATCAAATTTTATCGAAATCAGCTTTATAGTTTTATAGCTTTTTTTCATCAATTTATGTTTTTTTATTTAATTATGTGTTAAAATTTTAAAAAATCAATCATTACTTTTTTTCATATAAACTAACGATTATATAATATATATGATATTTTTTATATTTATACGATATGTTTCTAGATTTTAGAATAAATATAAACTACTCTTATTGTATAAAATTGATTTTTTGGATAAAAATTCTCATCAAGTTAATTTTTATTCTTATTTTTTTATAATTTTATTTATTAATAAATATGATTTATTTTCTCTATGTATGGATTTGAATAAGTTTTTTTTAATATCTGTTTTTATTTACTTGATTCTTATATAATCAAATTTTAAAAATTGAATATATGAATTTATTTTTTTTACGTAATCAAATTTTATCGAAATCGGTTTTATAGTTTTTACTGCACTTTATTAACTTCAATATATATTTTACCATTTAATTTTTAAGAATATTTTTTTAATTTATTTTATATATGTTTACCTATTAAGTACGATCATGATGTATCAAAAATAATAACATTAAAGTCATTGATTTTATTAGAAATCAACTATACATCTACACACACAATACCAACTATTTGCTATTATTTTTTTAATATTTAAAATGATTTTTTAAATAAATAATTGAAATAATATTTTAGAATAACTGCTTAATAATTCAAATACAATTTTTTATACTAATATTATTCATTATTTTGTGAATATATATATATATATATATTAAAAAATAATCTTCTCATCGGTAAAAAAATTTCATTTGTTAATTTTTATATAAGTTTTTTATATTAATTGTTGATTTATGTGTTCGATGCAATATAATGAAAAAATATCAAGATGTTTTTTAAAAAATTTATATTAAAATTTTTTTTATTACAGGATTTATTTAAGAAGAAATGCATAACAAATAACAAATCATATTTTTTTACTTATATATATTAAAAATTATAAAATTAGATGAAATTTTATCTTTTATAGTTAATTTAATATATTTTAATCGATCGATAACATAGTATATATTATCAAACTGAAATAAATATGTTTAGTTTGGTCCGAATTATTCATATGTTTAAAATTCGTATTCACTCATTGTTCATATGCATAAAATTACTATTCACTTGGTAGTAATTTAAGTAATTTTTGTGTGTCATTTTTTTTTTTTTTTGTGTTTTTGAGCACTAATATACAAATTTAACACTTTTTTCTATCTTTCATCTCTCATGTTGTAATTTTTTTTTTCAATTCTTAATTTTCAATTTTTTTTTCATTTTCACACACGCGACACACACACACACACACATATATATACCCATTATCTTTTAATATTTTAAAATTAACACATACGTCGGCTTATATTACTCGTATCATTTAAATTTTATTATTTGAAATTATCATTTTTTATGAAAATTCTCATCCAATTAGTATTTTTATATAAGATTTTATTTACCGATAAATATAATTTATTTTTCTCTATGTTTGAATTTTAGAATAAAATTTTAAAACATGATTTTTTAAAAATAAATTAGTATAATATATATCATGAATTCTAAGAATTTTTAAATGATAATTGCGCATATATACATATATAATTATTTTATTCTAAAAGGTTAAAAGTGTATTTTAAATAATTTATCGCCGTTCACTAGGTATGGTTAAGACATATAAAAAAAACTATTAAACCATTGATTTTATTAAAAATTAACTATACATCTTCCAACATAATACAAATTATTTTTTATGAATATTTTTTTAACATTATATAACAAATTTATTTGTATTGAAATAATTAAAATAATTTTTTAAAGGGACCAACCAATTATTCAAATGTAGTTTTTTATGCTAATTTTGTTGATTATTTTGTAAATAAACACATATAGATCTAATGTATATATTTTAAAAAATAATATTCTCACCAACATTAAATAAGAATAAATTTTTACTTTTTCATTAGTTAATTTTTATGTAAGTCTATAAATTAATTGTGACTTTATTTTTTTGGTGCATTCTTATAAAAAAATATATATAATTTTAAAGTATTTACTTTTGAATTCTTAATCAATACTTCAAGTTTAAATCATTACAAGTTTTTATTTAAGAATCCTTACATAAAGAAGAATAAATCATTTTTTAAGGAACCAATTTATGAAAAAAAAATTGTAATAATTAAATAAAAAATTATAAAAAAAATTATAAAAATTTTAAATGATTTTGTTCTATCTACCCGTAGGATTCACTGGATAATTTTAAAAATTAATCTTCTCATTAGCATTAAAGAAGAATTTTTTTTCATTAGTTAATTTTTTATAAATTTATTTTTTGGAATACAATATTATGAAAAATATATTTTTAATTTTTTTAATTCTTGATTAATATTTTTGTTAAAATTATTATATTTTTTAATTTTAAAATCAATCCATAAACAATAATGATTTGTGTTTTTTTCAAGCAGAAAATTTATAAAAAAAACATTAAATAATTTAATTAAATAAAAAATTATAACAAAAAATTTTAAAATTTTAAAATAAAGTTTTTTTTATCAAATCATGCAGCATAACGTGAGCAAACGACTAGTATATTCTATAATATATGTGAGTTTGTTGGTCTTTTTCTTAAGCTTATTCAGCACGTCAGAGTCAGTCTTCATTGTAATACACAAGACTTTGAAACATTCCTGTACACACGTGTGTGAATTTACTTTGTTAAAGCATGTGTTGTTTTATAAGGATGTTATGCCTTGTGTTTAGATTGATGAAATGCCTTCTGTTTACGTTGATAATATGTTTTGTATTTGTATAAGTAAATGTTTGGCTTTCCAAATGTATGTTATTAAACGATGAGGGCGTATAAGTGATTTAAGGACCTATTAAAAATGACCAAACAATGCCAATCAAAAACTTTTTGATATTAATATTCAATTAGTAACTAAAGCCTTTGTGGATAAACGCCAGGTAACTTTGCAAAGTAAAGGATTTTAGCGGAAAAAAATCTCTATTAGATTTCTTTTTTAAGTAAATTATAAATCTGTCGGTCTAGTTTTGCACTAATAATAATAAAAAAACCTTGCTTTTTTAAAAATTAATTAGTTAGTTTTTTAACCGGTGTTGATCACGATTACTTAATATTATTTTATTCAAAAAAGTGTTTTTTATTTTCTTCAATCTTTCTATATACTTCTTATTTATTTATTTATTAAAAAACAAAATAAATTAAAAAAGAATGAAAGTAATTAAGTTATGAATAGATTTAAAAATACAAGGACCTATTGATTAATTTTTGATAATAGAAGGATTATTTAATTCATCTTATAAAACTAAAGGGATTAATTTATAATTTACTCCTTTTCTTTTTTATCTCTGGTGATTTCTATTTTTATATCTCAACCCTTGAAATAAAAAACTTGAAAAGATAGCATAGTATGGATTTATATAACGAGATTAACATTCAATCTGTCATTATATTTTAAAATGAGTAAATTATGTGAGTTTTCAATATATATTTTTGGTAAATTTTTTTTTGTCAAATCATTCAAAAAAATCACATGACTAATTTTTTAATATTATTTTATCCTTCTTGCACATGACTAATTTAATATAATTTTATTCAAAAAACGTCTTTTATTCTCATAATCTTTCTATATACTTCTTCTTCTTCTTTTCTAATTAAAAAAATTGAAAAAAAAACTAAAATAATTAAGTTATGAATAGATTTAAAAATATAAAAACCTATTAATTAGTTTTTGATAATAGAAGGACTGTTTAATTCATCTTGTAAAACTAAAGGGACTAATTTATGATTTACTTTTCTTCTTTTTTTCTCTCATCATTTCTATTTTTATATCTCAATCCTTGAAATACAAAATTTTACTATTTAATTTATTATTATATTTTAAAATGAGTCAATTATGTGAGTTTTCAATATGTTTTTTTTTTTGAGGAACTTTCTTGTCAAATTATTAGAAAAAATCACGACTAATTTTTTTTTACCGAAAATGTCCCTAAAAAAATAACACGACATGCGCAGATTCAACTGAAGGGTATTTATAAAAAAAATAATCCGGTACAAATCATATGATTTTTTTTTCTATGGTTTGATTGAAAAATTCACTTAAAAAATAGATTGAAATTTCTCTTAAAATAATTTATTATATAAAAATAGACAGAGTAATTATTCCTACAAACTTTCCATCAATATTTCATTTAAGAGCTAAGACCCAAAGCCACTTGCATCATTATGTCAATTACATTAGAAAGCAGAGTTAGCTCGAACAACTGGCAATTCAGCTCCTTTCAGGGCAGGACTTTACATCGTAACAGAAAAACGCATCCTTTACAAGAGGAATGATGCAGAAAAGGTAATTATGAATCAGCACGTCTTGCTAAAATTTGCGTACAGACATCAAACGACATTAGACATCAGACACCAGTTTGCTATGAAATCTCAGCGCTAGTAAATTCCAGGGGACAATCATTTGTTTCATCAATCACTGGTTTCTGCTCTCCAACTTTATGTTTCATGCGAGTCAATGCTAGTTTCTCGGACTCGACTGATGGCTTTAGCTGCCTGAAAAGTGAAATTGAAAGGGGAAAAAAACAAAAATTTATCTAACTGTTATGGCTTATCAGAAAAACAGCCTGCAGATGGTCTTGTTCTTGTTGAAAATAGAAATACATCAAACATAGGATAAATAGTTCAATATGCATTTTGGTTAAAAAAATTGTCTATGATCAAAAAATTGATCAGAAGAACAAATTAAAAACTTAAATATTGTTTAGTGACATAATAAATACAATTATATATGTAAAATCAAATTAAAAATTTGAAATATATACTATTATATAATTACATATTGAGTTATTTATCTTAAAATATTGGATCAAGGTTGCTCATTTAGCTTCATGGCCTGGTTCCAACTTCCAACAACTGGGGTTTTAAAGTGTCAGCCCATGTGCAACAAAATCTTGCTCAAGTTCCGGATTATTGTTCTCACGAGCTGCAAGTCAAGCAGCCTTAATCTAGGCAGAAAATAGAAACTAGGCTTTAATCACCTTCTTTTGCTCTCTACATATATGCTACTCGTATGTTTAGACTGATTTAAAAGGATTTACCTCTCGATCCCAATCTGTACATGCATTTACTGTAACAAGCGCCACAACTTGGACAATGAGGCCACATATGATCCCCATCCAAAGCCCCTGATAATAACAATAGAAAGTAAGAAGAACAAAGAAATCTGAGTGCAAAAACATGCTCATTTCACTTTTTGAGAGGAAGAGAGAGCAAAAGAGAGGTGGGGATCTACCATGCCTCCAACGTGGAAGATGAAAGCCAAGAGAACAGCTGACGGAATTGCCACAACATAGTAAGCTCCAAGGTTGATAAATGCGCACAGATTTTGCCATCCACATCCTCTCGCAGCCCCTAAACAAATGAACTGACTAATAATGACCACAAATTTGAAAAGCACACTAGATAATGAATTAGTCTTAAGGCTTGCACATAGACTTTGTGCTACAAAGAAAACAAGAAAAACGAATGACAGATTCATTTTTAAGGTGCTTGTCATACGAAATTCAGACCCGAAAGCACGCATTGGAATCCATCCAAGAAGTCAGATAGCGCTAGCACTGGCATCATATTAGCAACATATCTGATCACTTCTTCTTCATTGCTGTAGAGCTTTCCCCATACTTGGCGTACCAAAATTGTAGTAATTCCAACTACTGCACCCTCTGACAGGGCGATGATGATCATAACACAGAGGGCCAAATGTGCACCTTGTGGGCGCCCAGCCCCTAGTTCATTTGATACTCTTGTACTAGAATCGCGAGAGGTCAAGGATCATCAAACCAGAACGTCAGAATGAAAAATTCAAAATGGATTTTGATCTTTTGCAGAAGTACTGATGAGGGCTTCAATCCCATGGATAATGAGGGAATTTCGTAGGAAGTTAACAATAACAAAATATAATATGGAAACTGACCTTATGGCACCACCAAGGCCAACAGAGATCATATAGACCATCCAACATGTGTTAAGGCTGTGATAAATGGACAACAACAAACAAAGATGTGGATTACTAAATGTATGTGCAGCTGATCTTAAAAGAAACATATGAAATTGACAAAACAGGTACCTTATTGATAGCACAGATGCCTCTAGTTTAGGATTTGGAAGAAGACCGGATAGCAGAACCACCATCTCAAATGACCAATACTCCAAGCTACGTAAAAACAATTATATAAGCAAGCAAATGAATAAAAATCCTTAAAGAGTTAATAAAACCTTTTAATGCAAGTACTTAAACCTGAACTTGCCATATCATGATTGCTGAAGGAACCGCAAGCTTTACGAAGCTGGAAATATCATGCAATGCTTCTTTTGAAAAGCCAGTCCAAGTTTTCGCGCAAGCTGGCGAGTATTTTACATATATTGCTAACAGAACTACATTAATCCAATTTGAAATAGTAATCGCCAAGGCAGCACCTTTACTTCCAAGTCCAGATTTAAAAACAAGACCCCAACACACAATAATGTGTAGTAAAGCTGTGACCCCGGAGCTTAGCATCATAGGGAAAATATTATTTTGGGTTTGTAACAATCTGTTAAGGCATTGAAGCAGGCCATATGCGAACAGGCTCGGAATCATCCATCGATTAAATGTCCCTGCTCCTGCTGATATCTCAGGATCTTGGCCTAAAGATAAAAGAATGGTGCTAGTGTAGAACCACATGATTGCTAGAGGGATGCTTATTGCTAGGAGCGTTAGCATTGCTCTTTGAGTGTGAATGCCAAGCATGTGGTATTGCTTGGCACCATAGGCTTGCCCACAGAGCGTCTCCAATGCACTTCCCATTCCTAGTTACAAAATTTAAAGTTTCAGATACAAATTCCATGAAAATATAACTGGCTAGCAGTGTGCTTTTCTACTAGTGCATTTGAGGGCACACATGGAAAGGCTTGACTTGGGAGCAAGCTGAACATCACAACGATCAGTTATAAGCTTCGCTTGACTAGACAAATTTTGTAAAACAGATAGTTAGTATGCTACTTAACCAAAAGGCATAATAAACTAATATATATAATAATAAAGGGCATGATAAACTAAAATAATAATAGAGGGATATAGTGAGTAAATCGATATATTACAGGGATATTTTTGTGCTTTGACTCGAGTTTCTTTCTTCGCCTACAGAACTAGATATTAAGGAATTAAGGCCCAATAATTTCTAAGGTCGAATTTAGGACCTTTCTAAGAGTTCTCAAAGTGGCTCAAGCCCATTTCCTAGAGGAGTCTCGCTACTATTATATTAGTGTAGTGCAAACAGTACACTGTTCTAAGTTCCAACTCCATCTGCCGCTGAACTAGTCACGCTGCTAGGTGCACCATCACCACACAATTTCATACAAGTTAAGTTAATTCTTACAAAGCAAATAGCATTTCCTATTGATATGTCCGACACTGGACTGTGATTCTGAATTATCGTTCGCTACGATGTTCCAAAGGACTAGCAAAATTAGAGAAAAATATACTTACCAATACACTGAAACCAATAACTGAAGCGAAGGAAGAAGCCATGGAAGCACTAGAAAGAGCAAGCTCGCCGAGATGGCCAACAAACATAATCGATATCACTTGTAAGCAATACTGCAACAAACTAACTGCTATAAGAGGCCCTGCAAGCCATAGTTGCTTCTTTGCTTCTCCAATAAAATCGTCTCTGCAAAAACAACCTTGTTGAGATACATCCCCATCAACTTCATGGCTGCTTTCTTGGTTCAGAATCAGAGGTGACTCCAGACTTGATTTTTCTGCTCCAGTTTCCATCCTCCTTGGCCTGTGTTAATCAATGGAGGGTGCAGGAGAAAACATTAATTGCCCGAGCGCCCCCACCTAACACTTTTGATTATTGAATATATAACACAATAGAAAGGAAGATACATAACCACTTGTGAAAAAAAAAAAAAAAAAAAAGACTTCAAATTAAGGCTTGCTTGTGGTAAGGGTTAACTGTTAACAAGACAAAAATCTGGCACATATTTAAGGAAATGATTTGCAAAAGTGGTACCCACCAGTTAACTTATTTGGCACAACAAGATTATAAAACTTAGAGATGGTGAAGCGAGGAGATTCAAGAATGAACGAAGCACTCCAAAAGCAACAGTTAATTTCTTACTTCGACCCAGGTTATGTTGTTTCTTTCTCTTGACTTTGATGTTTTTTTTTTTTTTTTTTTTTTGGGAGGGCCGGGGGCCGCAATGGACAAATTTGTTTAGGGAAGAAAAATTGCCATCACCGACATTTTCCTATAATATGTTAGTTACTCTTCAACTGTGAGTAAAGTAAATTATAAATTAGAACTTCAATTTTTTTTAAAACGAATTAATTAGTTTTTTTTTAATTTTAAAAATTAATTATTTAATTTCTTAATCCATATAAAAAATAATATTAGTTTATTTATAAAACGTTATTTTTTCTGTCAATCCTTTTATATTATTTATTTATTTATTTATTTAAATAAAAATCAAAATAAATTGAAAAAATTAAAAATATTAAGTACAAAAAAATTTAAAATATAAAAATTAAATAAATAATGTAGAAAACAATTAATTAATTCTTTTTTTTCAAAATTAGAGTTACTCATCTATGGTTTTACTGCTCCAACTTACTGTTGCCACCTAAATTGGTTCTTTGTTTTGTTAGAGGGGCAAGCTCGGTTTGATTTCATATTTTAATTTAAGAATAATATAGCTTCTACCACGTCGAAAAGTAAGAACCTTACGTAATTGCATCCACATAAACTTGTGGTGTTTCTAAATTAGAATAAATGCACTATATATATATATATATATATATATATATATAATGAAGTATTTTAATTTCTTCTGTTTTATTATATTAATTTTTTCAAAATAATCAATCAAGTTTTTTTTTATATATATATATTTTTGTTAAGTGATTGCGTGTTCGTTATTTTTAGAATACCAATTTATTATTATTATTATTATTTCAATCAAATAATATACTTTATTTTATTTTTTTTGTTTGAGTCACCTTTGTTGAAAATTATCAATCAAGTATTTTCATCAATTTTTTCATTAAATGATGGAATATACATTACCTCTATAATATTAAATTATAAATTTGTCTTTTTTTTCTTTGAAGGAAACTTTTCTTCTAAACTATTCTACTGTTTTAAAATTTGAAAAAGAATAAAAAATATATTATTTTTTAACTATAAAACTCAGAACTAGCTCTGCTAGACTTAAGCATGAAAATTAAAAAAAAAAAATACAAACATGAGAGTTTTCCTCAAAAAGATTCATTGCTTGTAAACATGTGAGAGGAAAGTTCTCTTCTAACAAAAAAAAAAGACAAAATTGTAATTTAGTATTTAAGATATAATGAATATGTCATCAATTAAAAGAAAAATTAATAAAAGTTTGATTGGTAATTTTCAAAAAAACTAATATACTAAAAAACAATTAAAATTTATGTACTCAATTGAAAAAAGAAAAAAGCAAAGTATAATTTGGTATTATTGAGGTACCAGACAGATCATTACTTAACAAAAAAATTGACATAAATATTTTAATTGATAATTTTTTTAAAAAATAAATATACTCAATAAAAAAAATTAAAATATATATACTTATTGAAAAAAAAATTAATATATTTATATTGCAATTATCTCATCTACTTTTTTTTCCCTTCCTTTTGTAATTCATTAGACTGGGCGTCCTAACAAGTACATATATTATTTATTTATTTATTTTTGCGTACAGAGGCCAAATGGCGGAAAAGCAAACACTGAATTATATGCGGTTACATACAAGCTCTGTGCCGCCGCAGAACAACGAGATCAACCCAAGGCCTTTGGGTATTCCTCAGAACAAGAAAAAAAATCTTGGGCAGAAGATTCCTCGTTAAACAGATGAGTTATACTCGATTTTTTTTTTAAAAAAATAAATATATCCATATGATTTTATATAATACTTAAAACATTTCGTACATTTTTAAGTTTTTAATTACAGACTATTTATTTCTAAAAATATTTAATTTGTCTTTACAATTAATTTTTTTGATTAAAATGCTCCCGATTGAAATACATAATAATAATAATAATTTTAAAGACTTCGAAAATAGAATATGCACACCACACGTGGGTGCACGTGCACACACACACACATATATATAAACATTTTGATAAAAAAAATTCATAGTCGGAAAATTTAATCGAAAAAACATGAATATTTTTTTAAAAAAATTAAGAAACAGATGGAATGAAATTGAGAACTTAAAAATAAATAATTTTTTTAAAGTAGTATATAAGTACATGTGAGTATGTTTATTGTTTTTTAAATTTAAAAAAGGTTGAGAAATTGTTTTTTTTTTTTCTTTGAGGGATGGTGAGTGGTAAAAGATGCACCCCCTCCTCCATCTTTATTTCATGCTAACCTTTGTGCTTGCTTCCTTTTTCATTGGAGACCATTTCGAATTGGGTTTTCTTGGCATTTAAATCTTTTAATTTTTAATTTTTATTTTTATAGAGATTCTTTACTTTTTAAAATTTATTATTTCGGATTCTCTGTTATAATGTTATCAACTATTCACATGGCGTGATACAATATCGTTAACGATAATCAATTATTAACCGACATGTGGCATTGTGAGTCTCAAATAACAATGTTTTTGTTAAAAAAAAAAACTAAAAATATTTTTAATAATAAACTAATACTTGTAATTTAAAAAAAAATAATGGAACACTGCAACTCTATTATCCAAAAATCCATTATTTTTTAGCAGTATGTAGCATGCCATGTCGGATTAATAGTTGATAGAGTTAAAACGGAGAGTCTAAAATAACAAATTTCAAATATTAGATGGTCTCAATAAAAAAAAAAAATTTTTGATAAAAAAATATTTTAAAAAATACATAGTTTAAATATAAGAAAAATCCATTTTGAATTCTTCATATCCAATTTCATTGGAAGTAGACCTCTAATTTAGTGTACACGTGATTTTTTAATATCAATTTTCAAAAATTAAAATACATTGACCAATCAGAAAATCATTTTACATAAATGCACTAAATTGTTTATATATATAAATTTAGGTATAAAAATCCACCGGTCGAGAATAGTCTACTCACCTCCATGCTCGAACACATTAGGTATTTTTATTCGTTTTTACCTCAAGCTCCATGAAAACAAGTATCCTTTCATACCTACTTCATTCAAATAAATAGAGATAGATATAGTTGCCATCTCTGTCTGTATTATCTAGACTATCATCGATAGATTGCTTTATGTGTAACATGTAGGATTGCAACTTTCCACTACCTATTCTTTTACACACACTTTATAGTCCTCCTATATGTTCAAACATATTAAAAAGAAAAAAGAAAAATGCGGCTCCAATCGACGAATCATGGAGCAACTTAAAGCAAAGCCCGCTAACTTTGCATTTGAAAGTCAATCCAAAAGGATTTAAAACACTGTCGTCAGTATTCCCAAAGGTAACGATGCAAAGATGATAGGATTACTCCTCACCGGATACTTATAAGCTCACTGTTCCCTTAGTACGCAAGAACTTTATGTTTAGACTAAAAATAAATTTAATTTCTCATCTATATACCCATACTCATTCTCAATCAAATCAAATAAGTTCTGATATTCATTACTATTTTTGTCATTTTTTCTTCAAAACTACATTTTTTTTATTTAATAAAGTATGCACATTAGATGGAAATTATTAACAAAATTTGACCAAACAACCTTATTATGAAATGCCAGAAACATTTGAAATTTAATTGATAAATTTATAGATTTGAGATTCAATTGAAAACAAGTATATAGATTAAAGACTAAATTTAGATTTACCTTCAAAAAACAGAATATAATATCACATAATTACTCAAACCTGAATACAAATAAATAATACAAGTACAAAGCACATACTCACACAATAAAACCATAATTACGTACACAACTAACGTTGAAATGGTGCAGAAAAATCAAGTTAATATGTAATAATTTTTCTAAAATGTAAGAAAAGATGTTGGAACCTCATAGATTCTAACAACCTCATATTTGTTGTCATAGGGCGACGAGTTCAAGAAAACAAGAAAATGAACAAAGATAAATGGAGTTGTCACCTAGTATTATGATTACTAAGAAATTATATGACTGGTATGTTCAAGTTTTCAGGTGAGAGGTTTATTATGTGTATGAAAAACTAAAAATCACTATATTCCGTCTTGTCCAAAACAAACTGTATTTCATGTAAAACAGATTTGATTTTTGTTTCTTTTTATGATAAAAATCTATACCTACTTTTCAAATATTTGCCCATCCAACGAGTGATTTGGGACTTCATGGGTCAAAAATCTTGTTCTCACTCCGAAATAAATAGCTAAAAAAATGAAAAACATGATGAATGTAAGGATGTGTAGCTATTATGACCTAAATGACATGCGTGAAAACAAGACTTAAAATTGACAAATAGGAAAAATAGACAAGATAGACAGAATAGGAAAAATAGATAATAACGGTAAAAATAGGCGATAACAACAAAAATAGGCAAAATAGGTGATAACGGCAAAAATGATGTCAAAAATGACAACAAGGGCAAAAAATGACAAAAATGGCAAAAATCGTAAAAGTTGGCAAAAACGATGGCAAAATTGTCAAAATTAGCAAAAAGGATAAAAATGACAAAAATGACAAAATTGACAAAAATCATTGAAGTTGACAAAAACGATCCGAAAACGAGGTTCGGACCGACATGACTTCAAATGTCATGATTTTTCGAGTAAGAAAAATTAGCATGGCAAGTAATGTTTGCATGAACAGTTCAAATCCAAGTGTGAATCGACATGACTTAAAATTCATAATTTTTTCAAGATGACATTTTAGACAAAATCGACAAAAATGGTCCAAACGAGATATTTGGATCGACACAACTCAAGAATCATAGTTTTTGGGATAAAATCAACACAATATCAAATGAATCATCACAAATTACAACAAGCAGTCCGAAAACGAGATTTGGACCAACATAGCCCAAGAATCTAGACAAAATTGACATAATATCAATTAATCGTTGCAGTGAGAAAAAATGATCCAAAGATGGTGTTCGAATCGACATGATTCAAGAATCACATTTTTTAAGCGAATTGACAACAATATCAAAATAAATCATAAGTTGACAAAAATGGCTCAAACAATGGAGTTCGGATTGACATAACTCAAAATTATATTTTTCGGATAAAATTAACATATGAGCGATTTGATATTACCATTAGCAAAAATGTTTTAAAAACGAGGTTTGGACCAACGCAATTTGATCACAGGCAACAACCAAAAAAATAATCACAGGATATTAGTTTCCCACTCCGCTTCAATATTTCTTGGGGTCTCAACCCTTTTCGCGAGTTCAATACATTAGGTGTATCTTAAACACGTCAACTCAATAATCACACAACCACAACAAGCAATTTAAAGTCGTACAACCATAACAGCAATTTAATTAATAAACAAGCATATCATACGAATTAAATTTAATACATATTAAATTAAAAAGGGTTAAAAAATTACTGCAAAAAGGTCGAATGAATTTGATCATCGAATTAGGGTCAGTTTCGATCTTTTTAACCTTGATATGTTGACTGCTTATTTAGTCAATAAAAAAGGAGGGACGGTTGCCCGTTGTCAGATTTGGATTGGACAGCTACTGCTATAATAGCTGCTGGATCGAAGTTACTAGAGGGGTTGGACTGGTTGGATGGCTGCTGGTCGGTTTAGATCTGTTGTTGGCCGATTTGCTGAAGAGGTTGGATTGACTAGAAGAGAGGCTGAAGGGTTGAATCGACTAGAGGAGAGGCTGTTGACTGAGGGTTGGACCAGTTGGATCGAGTTGCTGGAGGGGTTGGCGAAAGGTGTTGGCTCGATGGAGGACTAGACAGGCTGGATTGAGTGGGGGAAAGGTTGAATGGATCAGCTGTTGATCGATGGACCCTTTGATGGACGACGAAAAGGCGACTGGAGACTATAAGATGTCGATTGAGCTTTGGTGGAGTAGAAATGACAGCTGGAGGCTATTGGATGTCATAAATTTCATGTGTTTTTTCAATTTATTTCTTTAATTTATTTTAAGAAAAAAAGAAAAAAAGTAGACAATAAAAAAAATTGATGCGAAAAGAAATTTTTTTTAAATTAAAATAATATTAAATTAAATATAATCAAAACTTATAAATAAATAAATAAATAAAATTTTAAAATTAGAGAGGTTATTTTAATTTGTTGGGTCAATGAACTAATTAATTTACTCTATTTCCTTTTAAAAAATATTAAAATGCCTCTAATATTATATATATTGTTTTAATTAACTAAAGAAAATATTGGAAGACACAAGCATTGACCCGTAGAATTTGAATCCTTAATCTCTTTTTTCTTCATTTATAACGTTACAAATGAATTGTAACATGATGATTAATATGTTTATACATGTTTGATATTTTATTATATGATTGATTAGCTTAATCAACCCACTAGTCTGATTAGTTGATCCACGATCCGATAACCAGAAACTTTGTGTTGGTGAAAGTCCCGATTTGGATACGACAACTATAAAATATAAAGCTACATATACGCGTTGTTCCTATCTTGGAACTAAATCGAATATATTCAACATTGTCATACCGTACTATGGAAGCGACTTGGTTGCTTTAGGAAAAGTCGTCTTTTGTTTTTTTTTTCGAAAGTCTAGCCTCAAATAAGAAAATTGTGTTGATTTAACCATGTATATTATATGGTTGAGAAGAAGACGTATAAAAATATAAAACCACATATTACATCTTCTTTTTTTTATCGTATTTTTATATAAATTTTAAGTCGATTTTTCGAACAAACATAACAAATGAAATGACATATCATATAAAATTATCACGTGTAATGAGAGGTTAATTAAAATTAGAACGTAGCAAAAATTTTAAAAACAAAATAATCAAAAGAAAAAATTAGTTGAGAAGAGGAAAAAAAGTACTTTTTAAGTTTCTTTTCAGCTAATTTACTGGGCATTCCAGTTTTACTGGGAACAACTCCAGCAGCCAGATCGAGGATTTTTGGGAGTTTCCGAGGTTTGGTTTTAGATTCCACGAGACCCACGTTTCCTAAAGTTTTAGGTGTTTGATGAAGCTCTAGAAACTGCTTTCAAAGCTTTTCGACGGCAAGATCTGAAAATTTTCCAAGATCCTTATTCCTTAGCAGCAAGTCCAAAAGCAAAGTAGCAATAAGCTCTTTCTCTCGCTCTTTGCTAACTTTTTTTATTCTTGTTTCCACTCATTCCCCAAATTCTCACTATCATTTTAGAATCCCCCTTTTTTGCACTAACACCAGCCTACCTTCCTTTACTCACTCATTCACTGGTTTTATGCTGTACGTCCTCCCTTTTCTTTTGCTTCTCTCTTTCTTCCAGTTTCATTTTTTGAACTTGTAACTTTGATACGCATTTATCAAAACTTTATATTTAGACCGTTTAGGCATGTTCTTTGCATCTCTTTTAGTTCAAGAATGTTAAATTAATTTGTTCAATTTGCCTCTCATAGTTACTTTCTTTCTTGGTTTATGACAGTTTATTGATTTTTCTGTCAATTTACTGGTTCGTGGTTAATGATGTCAAGATTTATGAGTGGATGATATATATCTTAAGTGTTTAAAGAAGCGTTAATTTAAAGATATTGATGAGTTGGATGTTTCTTTTCAGCTTTTTTTTGTCCTATTATTTTGTTTTTTTAAATTGATCTTCATATTTTTAAGTCTACTTATAATTTTATAATTTTATTTATTTTTTCTAGTTTTAATAAATAGAAAAAATAAAAAAATTAATAGAAAAAAAGATGTTTTTTAAAAGAAAATCACATTAAATTAGTTAGGATCAATGCTAGACAAAAAACTAATTAATTAAATTTTAAAATAACAAAGATCAATTAATTTATTTTGTAAAATTAGATGGACAAATTTATAATTTACTTGGCTCAAGTGGTGCATGGACAACGGTGAGTCGGTGACTACTTAGATCTATTTTTGGCATTAACAAAAATTATTCAGTACACTGGAATTATATTTTTCTTTCACAAAAACATGAGACTCAGAAATTATTTTCATGGCGAGTCTCATATTTTTATAAAAGATAAGAATAAAATTTTTAATTTACCTAATAATTTGTTTTTGTGAATCTATTTTATAAATTCATCGAAAATTGGCCACTTAGACAAGTTTACTCTATTCTATTTTATACTTTTGTATTCATAAGGGATATATCAAATCTCAAGTTTTAGTATAAAGAAAAAATATTGTGAATAACAGTATTACCTGTTCCACAAATCAAATTCAAACTTCTTGATTTTATGAGATTATTTCCTTTTGTTTCATTTTTTAAATTATATTATTAAAGACATTTTTAAATTAATTTACATACCAATTTAATTAGTTATTTTTTTCTGAATATTTTTAATGATATATTTTCATATTAGTTTGATACATTCTAAATGCTGATGATAAAATTTGAACTTAAAAGAAATAAAACTAATTATTTTTTTTTATAATTGTCAAACGATACCATATCTCTTATAGTAAATGAATAAATAAAATCTGAATGATATATAAAATTAAGAAATAACTATGCATCATAAAATTTAATTTTTTTTAAAAAATCAATCTTAACTATTTAATTTAATAACTATCATATTGAAGTTTTTATTCTTAATTTTAAAGGCAATAAGTAATTCAACTCAACTTAAAGCCAACAAATAAAAGTAAATTAAAAAACTGCCCTTGGCTCGCACAAAATATTGCAATCACTCTTTTGTTCCTAGCTTTTAAGCCTTCCTCCCACTTTCTCCGTTTTTCTAGACTCTTCTAGATGCACCCTTTCGGTTGACGTTTCTCCCGAGTCCTCTCCCTCTCCTCATTTCTTTGCGTCTTCGTCTTCCCTCGCAAATATTCACCTTCCACGAGAACGCTCAACATTTCCAAATATTTGGCTTCCATGCTTTTGGATTTTCAATTGAATTAAGGTCCAGATCACTTTTGTAATGTCAACCATTAGAACAGAACACTCGTAATGTTCTTTTCACTTGCTTTTGCTCTATGTCATCATGATTAAAGCTTTTCTTTTCCTTTTCTGTACATGAGGTACGTGCTTCTGTAAGATAATTATTAATCAAGTCAGCTTTTCTCGGAATCTTCACTCTCCCCTTGAAATATCTTCTTAACTTTGCTGATTTGTAGAAGCAGGTTTTTTTTTTTTTTTTTTTTTCCGATTAAATAGAAGCAGTTGTTTTAGCAACATTTTGTTCGACTAATTAACGTATATGATCAGGTGTTCACGCTCTGCAATAACGACTGAGAAAGCATGAAGGCTCCGGTAAGAGTAACATTGGGTCTTTAATTTGCTTCAGCTATGTCTATTTTCCTGTTTTTTTTTCACGTTTTTGTGAACATTTGGATGTAGTTTGCTCAATTTTATGAAGTTATAAAATTAGGGTTTTTTTTTTTATATATATATAATTTTTTTATGTGATATTCACAAGAAAAATGCTAAACACGTAACGAAAAGAAAATAAAATTGCTAAACACATCTTGCCATAGTCTAATACATCAAATAATTGCTGGTATAGTATGTTAAAATTGAGATATTATTAGGTATATATTGAGTATTGACTCCATCTTTATATTACGGGGAGTACAATTTTTTATGCACCAATAATTCCTCCTAAATTTCTCACCCCTATACAGTGCCGGCTCTAGGCATAGGCTATTAAAGCTTATGCCTAGGCTCCAATAGAAAGAAGAGCCTAATTAAAATTTTATCCTAAACTTATATTCGTGAATAATAAAATAAATTAGAAGATGCAGTCTCCACTTAAGTATGAGGCATCATTCTTCTCTCTGTTAATAAGTCATAGGTATTAGAGTTTCTGTATTGAAAGACTCCCATTGTTCGAAGATATTATTATTTCAACGTTAAAAATTTTATCTTTTCTAGATGTCTTTTCAGTTACCTTCTACCTATAAAAGCTTTCAATTTTTATTTTAGTGAGACATTTTTACTTACGAGAAAAGTTTCAAAAAAATATTTGTGAGTGAAACAATTTTTAGATCTTCAAATTTTGTTATTATATTCCTTTCTTTCTCTAAACAATCAAGGATCTCTTATAAAACCTTTTCTAATTAGCTTGGCGGAAGAATCGAAGGTAATTTTTTAATTTATGCAAATAAAATTATGTATATAAATCATATAATATTTTATTTTTTCTCAAATTTTTTTTATTTTCTCGGGTGATTCTCTCCACGTTTACTTGATTAGGTGTGGCAAGTAAATATAATCGAGTGTCAAAGTTTCTTACTCTTTTTATAATTATATTTTAATTTTATTATTTGAATAAAATATCTATTAGAAAGTATGAATTTGAATATGAAAAATGTAAGAAAAAAGAAAGGTAGAAGAACTAATTCAATCCCAAAAAGATGCACTTGATAGATTTGTTACTAATATTAAACCTTAAATACTAGAAGAACAAGATAAAGATTTAAATGAAAATATAGTTGAAAATTGTCAAGAAAAATATTATTTTGCCTAGGATCACATATTTTATAAAGTCGGCTCGCCTCTATACGAGTTTTACGTTGACCGTATATATGTATGGTCACGGAAGCTATTACAATTAAAGCTTAAGGAATCACCCTAAGTGTTGTAGCATCTTCCAACTTTCAAGTGAGAGTTTTCCATTTGAAAAAAAAAACAAAACAAAACCAAAAACGAACAAAACAAAAAACTAAAAAATCAGTAAAGTGAGATAGGTGGAATAGAAAAAAATGATATTGAAGAAAGGTTAATCCTAGGATGTAGATGAAGGGGCAATGAACCATTAATTGGACAAAAGAAAAACATCTTCAAAATTGTTGTACCCTCATAAAAACATCGAATGTAATCTGTTTTGTTTTTTAAAAGATTTGAAAGATTGATTTTTTTTAAGAATCTAACGATTTCCACTAAAAGAAATCAATCTAAATAATTTTAACAAATTAATAAAGAATGTGAAATTAGCCTTGCTCCTAACTTCCTTCGGTAGGATTCCACAAAGAAGAACGAGGCATGCGGCAATGTTTGTGATTCCTATGATCAAACATACCATGATAACTTCTTTTATACACATAAAAGGATAATGAATTCAAAGAGAAGTAAGCACATCCTTTTGGTCTTGGCCGAGAAGGCATATAATTAGTTACCCGATTCGCTTTTAAACACACTCTGGATTCTACCTATGCATAACATATTTGATCCGAATTCCTAATACCCGTCCTTAATTTTCCATAATACCATAGGGACCGGACTATTTCCACAACAAGTGGGTATAGGTTTGCCCATTAAAAGAAATAGTTTTGTCGGGAATATATAACTTTGTGTTGTTGCTCGTTGAATTTAATTTTTAAACGGAGTATATCAACGTTTTAACTTGTTATTAAGTCATTCGTGATGAAATATTATAAAATTTGATTTCTCATAACAAACCACTATGACTTTTCGTGGGTACTCAATTTAAAAAGAGTAATAAAGTAAAGAGAATTTTATTAATCAAAAGAGATAAAATTCATTAAAAAAATATAAATATCATAAATCGAAAAATATGACACTTATATCATTAGGTATCGAGATGTTCGATGTCATTCGATAGATCAACGCTTCCTAACTTTCAAAGATAAAATTATCGAAAGCGATAAAAGACTAATGCACTACTTGCAAGAAAGTAGTAATTAACTATTATAGTGTAAACTAAGGGAATAGAATAAATCCGTATAATAAGTCTTGTGTTGTTGATCATGTGCGATTCTGTTCGTCCTCCTTTCTTAAATAGTTCTTGATTGACAATTGTCTTTTATTTCAAATTTAAGCGTGAATAGTTATTTGGTAACTCGTTCTTTTGTTTCCTTTGTACATGTTTTCTTTATACATATTTTATTTGTTGAAATTAGCCGATTACAAGCTCAAATACATCATTTTATTTAAACTTTATGATTTTGTTGAAACTTGGCTGGTTAAATTAGTAAATATATCGTTTTACTCAACACTTAAAGCTCTGTCAAAATCTGATTGGTGACAATATCAAATGTATCATTTCATTAAAGACTTAAGGCTCATCGAAACCCGATTGATGATAGGAACAAATACATCATTTTATTAAAGACTTAAGATTTCGTCGAAACTTGGTTGGTTTACGAGACCAAACATATCATTTTACTTATGCTTTACTTTTTGTCACAAGAAGATGACATACTCGATTGACGTATAACTTTGAATTTTGAAGTGCTAACACATTTTCTTCTTTCAGCCATTTAGAGATAAAATAAAAAATCTCTCTAATGGACGGAACATTAAATGTTGATGGACATGATAAGACGTTGTATTGTTTCATTTCTTAAATGGCTTTTCGTAATCATTTTACTATCTTGGTTATTAAACAATTAACGATTTTTGTCCTAACACATATGAATCGTGAAATCTTAATATCTAAATATCGTGACCCTTAAAATAGATGCTTATAAAAGAAAAAAATGACTTTTAACAATTTTCATCTTTGTTTCTTTTTCATTTTCCTTCTAATCTTCATTCTTTCCCTTCGGATCGTCTTTAGTTGGAAATTTGTAGATTTCCTTGAAGTCGTAAAGTCGATTGATTTGGCTTTGTTGCATTATTTCTTTAACTTCCTCGTCTTTTTGGTGCTTTTGGAGAAATAATGAAGGATGTCACATCGACTTTAGGAGTGACATGTTCACTCGATGATCGACATAATTTCCTGTTGGAAACATTCACTTCCCGAAGAAAGGGATCAACTTTCCTCCAAAGATTTTCAATCTCTATGACATTAGACCGTAATCGTATCCGATCAATATCTACACGTATAACCTTTTCTCTCTAGATTGCCTTCGGTTGGAAATTCATAAATTTTGTTGAAGTTGCAAAGTTGATCGATTCGACTTTGTTCCATTATTTCTTTAAGTTCCTCTCTTTTTGGTGCTTCGGAGAAATAATGAAGGATGTCACATTGACTTCGGGAGTGATAGGTTCCTCGATGATCGCCATAATTTTATGTTGGAAACATTCGCTTCCCAAGGAGAAAGGGATTAGCTCTCCTCCAAAAATTTCAATCTCTATGACATTAGATTGCACTTGTATCTAATCGATATTTACATGTACAAAAGACTTAGACTTTTAAAATATAAGTTTTTGATGAAGAGATGAAGGCACATAAATTATAATGAATCAATTTCCTTCCTAATAACACATTAAAAGAAGGCTTGGTATCAATTATAAAGAAAACAATTTTTGTTTTTCAACCAACTCATAAATCAACGAGTAGCATGTATTTTGCTTTTGCAAAATTTTCAACGAAGCCACATACTCGAAATATCAAAATTGGTTAAATCTTCGTTAGATTTCGAAGAATTTTAAACATGTCAAATGACATGATATTGGTTGCTCCACCATTATCAATCAATACTTTGTCTACTTAAAAATGATTTATAATTGTTTTAATGTGTAACGAGTTTGATATGTTTACTTTTAAATACTTTTGGTTTTTCAAAAACAATTATATGCTTACCGAGTGGACACCTCCGAAACTTGGATTGATTTTTTATTGATGTTATTCATCTCCACTTCGTAATCGAATTATCCGAACATCATTCGAGTCGATATTCTTACGGTCCCGCCTTTGCCATGTAATCGAGCTGGCAAAACGAGGGTCATGTTGCATTCGACTTAATCCGTCGATCCTATGGTAGGACTCCGGTTGTTTCGAGGATCTTTATCCAAGATGATCTTGAAATCATCATCTTTGAAGTCAATCTCATAATTGGACTCCACGAACCTTTTCCCTTTTTAAGAAATTGAGGTTTCAATTGAAGTGATCAATGGTTGAGGTTGACCTCTTTGTAATATCTTGATTTTCATCCTAGTCTTTTCATCTAGGGTATTTAGATTTTTTTAT